TCAATAACCTTCCTCAGGACATAGAAAAACATAGTTTACTGATTCAAGTACGACAAAAATTTAGGAGGTGTCTTTTTTCCTTTAATTTGACAGTTCTAATACAAAAAATACATTTCTTCTGCTTTAATCCCATCACTCTACGAATGAGAAATCTAGAATGTCAGGAGTTCCCTCTATACACCCTAAGGTTAAGAGTAATAGATCATTTACACCTTAAGGTTAAGAGTAATAGATCATTTACGCATCATAGTAATACGCAACCATTTTGTCCCCTCCGTCTCACTCTATTGATCTAAGATGATTCAGCATAGAGATTAAGAAAAAGGTTGAATGAAAAATAAAAAGATTTTTTAGCGGCGACTGCAATATGTAAAAGGAGTTATAACAGAAGGGATAGGTATCACACAAAAGGTCGTACAACAACAACAAACCCACTATAATCCCACAAGTGGGGTCTCGGGAGAGTAGTGTGTACGTAGACCTTATCCCTGCCTGGTGAAGGTAGAAATGTTGTTTCCGATAGACCCCCGTCTCAAGAAAAGCCAAAAGAGAAGAAGAAAAAGAAAAGGTAGCACCAAACAATGACAACAGGAAAAATAAATAACTGAAGGGAACGAAACAACATGAAGTAATAGAGACCGAAGAATAGAAAAATACAAGAGTGCTACTAATACTACTGCTAATGCAAGAGGAAACTCTCGCCTACCTACTAACCTTCTAAACTAATTCTCGACCTCCACACCTTCCTATCATGGATTATGTCCTCAGTAAGCTGAAGCGGCACCATGTCCTGTCTAATCACCTCTCCCCAGTACTTTTTTGGCCTAACTCTACTTTTTCTCACCCAGTGCCGGCTCAAGGGCCAAGCGATTAAAGCAAGGGCTTTAGGCCCTTAAGTTTTTAAGGCCCCCTTTTTTTAATTAATAGTAAAAATAGGTTAATCTAGGCTCTTTTTTGGAAAAATATTTAATATTCATGGTAAAAAAGTATAAGATTCTTATAAAAAACATGATTTCTTAGCCAATGTGATTGATGGTCGTGAGAATGCACGGGAGAAAAATTTATTTTTTAATAATGATACAATGAGCCCTATATATAATACATATTCTACTCCTACAATATATGGGATTTGGACATATTCTACTCCTACTACATATGGGACTAGAAATTTCTGGCCGGAAAGTGCACCACGCGCCGGTCAGACGCGCTCGCCGGAACCCTAGTTCTGGTAGGGTGTGGAGGCGCGTGAGGGACTCCGGAGCGATTGACTGGGTTTTGTGGCCTGACTTTTCCAAACAAGACTGTAGTATTGGTTTTTGCACAACACTTACCGATGAGGAGATAACGCAAATCAATCTTGAGTAGCCAATCGGAAAGACGCACGGTGACTGACTTTTCTGTTCCGATGGGACTGGGATTTCTGGGGTTTGGTCGCACAAGGATTTCAGATCTGATGGTGGTACTGGAATATGCACAGTACCACAGTAGCAGTGATGAACCCTGGGAACAAAACGAAGTTGCCGGAAAATTGCATTGAGATCTTTCTTCCCGGATGTCGCTGGAATGACGCACAACGATAATTTTCTCACTGAAACTCTGATACCATGTGAGAATGCACGGGAGAAAAATCTACTTTTTAATAATGATACAATGAGCCCTATATATAATACATATTCTACTCCTACAATATATGGGACTAGGACATATTCTACTCCTACAGCATATGGGAGTAGGACATATTTACACATAACTATCTAACAATGGTGACTGATGATTAATTTATATTATAATATTAATATTTTTTTCCTCATAATAAACTTGTATTTTAAATTCTCCTTCTTCATCCCACTAAATTTTCTATTTTCTAAAACACACGAACGAAAGGCATTGAATAAATTAAAATTGCATTTCTCGTTCTTTCTCTAGTTCTCAAGCATTGCAACAACAAATTAAAAATATTGAAATTTCATGTTGCTATCAAGTTATCAACATCTAGAATCAGGTTCGATTATTCTAACTTTGCTACTATTTTTTTCTTTAAATTTGAACCTTTTTTTGTATATTTACCTATAGTAGTATATTGCTTTTCATTATCTTATCAGAATTTAAATGTCAACTATAAAGATGAATCAGGTTACTCGTTATGATTTTTTTTCTTAAAGCGTCTTAATATTGGTAAAAAAAAAGCCTCTCAATAAACTTTGGCTTTAGGCCTTGAACCGCCATGGCCAACTTCTCACACCTCCTAACAGGAGCATCTGTACTTCTCCTATTCACGTACCCGAACCATCTCAGCCTCGACTCCCGCATCTTGTCCTCCACGGGGACCACTCCCACTTTGTCCCCAATAACTTCATCCATAATCTTAATTCTCCTGGTATGCCGACACGTCTATCTCAGCATCCTTATTTCTGCTACTTTTATCTTCTGAACATGGGAGTTCTTGACTGGCCAACACTCATCCCCATACAGCACAGTAGGACACCCAAAAAGGTTTTAAAATTCTAATATAACTTGTATACTAATTCTAAATGCATAGAAAGTAAACTTTGTCATTTCTTGGTAGTGGTCAATCATCTTTAGAAAGGCGGTCAATCATCTTTAGAAAGGCTAAATGCCCAGGGACTACTGACACAATCTTTAGTTGCTTAGTCTTTTTATAAGGCAAGCATGTCAATCCTATGTCAAGAGCACTTCTAGTCCTTGTATCGGACAATAGGTGATGGACTCTCAAATCAAAAAGGATTTGGCAATATTGTACTCTCTATGTTCCAGTTTATGTGAACCTATTTCCTTTTTGGTCCGTTCCAAAAAGAATAACCCATTTCTAAATTTGGTAATAATTTAGCTTAAACTTATAATTATACCCCTAATGAGAAGCTTTTATAACCACACAAATACGCTGGGCCCCTTTTGACTTGTTTAGGACCACAAATTCCAAAAGTCTTCATTTTTTCTTAAACTTTGTGCCCAGTCAAACAGGTTCACATAAATTGTGAACGAAGGGAGTAGCAGATAAAAACTTTAATTTCTCCAATTCAGGAAAGAAACGGAAAGATCAGAAATTGTCGTAAATAGAAAAATATGGTGAGAGACATATGCATCAAAGATGACGAAGACATCAATCACCAAAATATCATGAGTAAAAGAGTTGAGGTGCACACAAGCTGACTGGACACCACCATCATCAAAAAAATAAAATATCATGAATGAAAGAGATTCTAATCCAAAAATAGATGCTCATTGATGCTCTAGTAGGGATCAGGATAATTACCTTAATACCAACAGAAAATTGAGCTTGCCACCCATCACAGTGCTGAAAAAGACAAAATAATAATGAATAACTGTGCACACAAGATACATTTACTACTCTCTCAAATTTACTATCACATTTTCAATTTTAGGCTGTGTAAGTTAACTTTTCTAAAATGAAGTATCTTCCAAGTTAATATCAATCAAAAGTTTAATGGGCCATACTTTTACTCTATCTGCCATCTAAATAGCTCAAATAGTAAGCCATTCACAGTTTTGGATCTACTTGTCATAAACTAGTTCATATTGATAACTCCAATGTAATATATCGCTCCCAAGTCAATGTACCTTTTATTAGACACGACAAACTTTCTATCTGTAACATTCAAGTTGCATCAGAGGAAGTATATTGTTGTGTCTTAATAGCTAAATTCATCAGAAGCATGCTATAATTGCACATACTCGGAAAAAAATGGCTCACCTCAGGCGCCAAGCTGGTGATAGTTGCACCTTTGTCCGCTGAAAGCCACAAATGTTTTCCAGTAATTGCCACCTTCCCTACAATACTGTCCATGGAGATAGTTAGAAATTTGATTACCATAACCCATAAATCCTATTTATTTATTTTAGAGAGAAATTAGAATCACAGATTCAATCTGACAGGAACACATCGTCTTACAAACGATTACTGTGCGACTAACTGACTATACTCTCAGACTTTCAGAACCAGATAGCATAACAAATAAAATTTCTTCAAGGGAAATAAATCATAAACTTGCTTCTGGTCATCTAGGTATCATACCCTTCTCCAAGAGAATAAACATGATACGACATCTTTGCCACAGCTACTCCAAGACGATTGTTGGAATAATATCCATCATGAAGGTTGCCTGCTGCACTACCAGGAGATTTTTTCTCCGGAAAGCCGTCATTGTCATAGTAAGCGTCCGCCCAAGTCAACATCCTACAATGAAATCCACATGAAGGCCAACTGATAAGAGAAGATATGTTGTCCTTTTTATACTCAAAAGTATTAGAAGGCCAACATATGGCGGATTACCAACCACAACTAAGAAATCTATTCATCTCAAAGAGACCCAGTACTTGATAAAACAAGTCTCAGCAATTCTATTATTAAAATCAAGCTTCTACTGAGCTTCAGAATTAAGGTTTCTCTATGGTATGGAACAAAAACTTCTGGCAAAAACAGTGTGAGACAAAGCATATGCAATCTTTGATTTCCCTGTTGAAGGGGAGGCTATTGGTTGCTTTATATTATGAACCTCCTGCTTACTGAGAAAAATAGATTTTGCATTTAGATTCCGTAAGTGCATTTCTGAGTTTGGAACATCCGATTAGATACTTTTTGTTTCAATTGAATATGAAGACACAAGCTAGATCATTCCCGCAAGAAATCTGAAAGCAAACACCTTTCCAATTTCTGGCTAAGCAAATGAAAGTCCAGGGTCAATACAATAGAAAAATTTTCTTTCACTTTTACCCAATTTGTAAGCAGAACCAAAAGAAATATCAGTAGTAGCTAAGAACTCAATGAAGGAGGCAAAGAAACTCACATCCGAGCTCGATGTGTGAGCTTCCAAAACACAGCATACTTCCAAGGAGTGTTGCAGCAAAGGCTCCTCAGTGCTTGTTGCAGTTGGCTTGCCATATTCTTTCCCAAGTCACCAGATTTTTTTAACACACAGATCCCCCACCCTCCTCCCCCAACACTCAAAATAAATCCAGTCCTAAACCTAACAATCCCCAATTGTGTTCCCTTTGGCTGTCCGAAATTCTAACTTCCTCTGTATGATCCTCTGCCTGCTTGCTTCCTTCTCAACCCCGCTCGCCGCTCTATTGGCGGTCCTACTGTTGAAAGAAGCAGCATCCCATCATCTTTTCCCATTCTCCCTCTTCCCACAGCTCAAAAAACCAAACCTCACACCAATAAAAATCAAATCTTGACTGAACCAACCAACTCTAATTCAGTAATCAGTAATACAGAATGAAACCAAGAATCCAATAAAAACAATAGCCGCACATAAGATTATAGTACTATCCATGCAAGTTTCCATTACCAAACAATAATCTTGAACAATATTTACCAACTTGAGAATAATAAAAATCAAATCTTGATTATCCTATAAAGACCAACAAAAAGAAAGCTATAAGTGAACTAGCAAATTGATACTTGATTTTCCTTTAAAATGACCTCAACATCTGAAGTGGGGGATGGAAAACTAACTGTACTAACTGCAGACACTAAAAGGAAGAATCTTTGCCTAATATATCAACAGTAAGCTTTCTGGGAAGAGTACCTACGACGTTTTGGAGTTAACTTCTGAATTGCAACATTCACTTCCATTACTATTCTAAGATTTGAATATACTGGTTTTTGTTTCTGTTCTTGTTTTTAAGCTGAAAAAAGCTATGTATATAACACTCTACTAGTAAAAGTGTACAGCGAGGCGCGAGCTATATGGGCTAATTGCTTTTGATTTGGAAGTTATCTTTATATAATAATAGTCTTAAAGAGCGCGGCTTTTTGGATCTGATAAACAACGTGCAACCCCCAAAATTCCCTTTTAAGGACTAGGACTCTCCTAAATAAATGGATTAGGCTCATCTCCATTTCTCAATCTTTCCATTTCTAAAAGTTTCTATTTTGATTTGTGACACTTGTCATATTTATATATTAATAGTCCAAATTTATTTAACTAACTAATAGTCTTAACCATGGCTAATATACCTTTATTTTAGGAGAAAATACTCTCTAACTATAGTAAGAAATCTTCATTTCCAGAAATATTACTAAAGAATTTGCCTAAAATAGAGAAACACCGATTTTGGCTTTTAATAAATTTATACATTTCATCTTTATGTTAATATATGGTGAGGACTTCCATTCAATTTTTTTGTTCACAAAATTACCTACCTTATATATTGTTTACTTGAAATGAAGACAAAATAGCGGAAACAGTAATTCTAGGAGCAGCGCTTCCGGAAACAACAACAATGAAATCAAGTAATAAGAAGATAAAATTGTATAAAGCTTTGAATCGATTATAGAATGAGTTTGCCAGAAAATTTGTGTCCTTTACAATGATAACAGAGCTCATTATTTATAACTGCACCTAGAGAATAAGGTCCTAGGATCATGCCCTTCTTTAATGTCAATTATGAGGGCCATTGAAAAATATGTAACGGTGAGCATAAATGATAAATTCTTTGTAACAGGCAGTGTACTAAATGTTGTGGAATATTCTCCATTAAATGCTACCAGACGACAGGTATTTATTGCATCTCTACGAGCGTCATTTTTCCCGGTGACAAATGAAACAGTTGTCTTCGGTTTTAACTATCCTCTGCCTTCGACTCCACGGGTCACTCTCTTATGCAACCACTTAGATAGCATATTTTACCATATACAAATAGTCCTCATGCTTTCCGGTGACATAACTTTGTGTCACCGGAAAGTTGGTAGAAACACTCTTTTTGGCTGGAATTACTATGGTCCTCTCTGAAAAGCTTCTGACGGTTGATTAGACGCACGTCTCTCCGCATTTAATAGCCCAAACATGCGTCATCCCACGATTCAGCATAACTTTTGCTGGTTATCGAGGTAATCATGGCCACGAATTTAGCCGCCTAAACCTTTACTTATACGCATCAACCTCCTTCATTCATACAACATAATTCTCCAAACTCTCTCCATTCAACTTGTATTATATTCTTCAACCATTCTTTAACTCTTTTCAAACGAAAAAGTTTGTCCTTCTACCATAACATATAATAGCTTATTCTTCAAAAAATAGCAGTTCCTCAAAGAACAAAAACAAAGCCGAGGATGCCGCTCCTCCAACAGTGAGCACCATCATCCCTAGAAGTCTTGTTACAACAAAAAACTTCGAAGAGAAATTTCCTTCTGTTAGCCCTTGTACATGGGCTGTTAGCAGATATCCTTCTTCCATCCGCCCTTCCAGCATTCCTGTTGTGAAGGAAGCTTGTCATTGCCAGGACTTAGACATTATCGTTCCCAACCTGGCAGAGCGGGTAACCTTACCCAAGAAGGGTTTTACGTACTTCTATATGTATCTCTTCACTTTGGGGACATTTTCTCTCAGTTGAGAGCTTGACTCTGTCATTAAGTAGTTTTGCCTTTTCTATCAAGTGTGTTTGGCACAGGTGAGTCCCTCCGTGTGGAGGACGATTGCTTGCCTTCGGCGCCTGTGCTAGGAAACGGGGGAGGAGCTAACTTTAGCTCATGTGATGGACCTTTATTCCTCCAAGATCATCCGTGGGGGATGACCAACTTCAGCAAACGAGGCCACTATGCATTTTATCCAGTATGGATGATAATAATGAACATGGATGGATGGAACGGTTTGTTTCAGTTGCCACTAGTGATATCATCCCGGCCTCGTCTCCTTCCTTCCCGGAATTGTGGAACCGCACTCGTAAGTATATAGTTTGCTTCTATTCTTGTTAAAGATCCCTTCCTCGACGTTATTAACTTTTCTTCCTTCACCTGCCTCAACGGCTCAGTAGGTTCCCCCTGGGGTTGAGGACTTGGACCAATGGGTTCAAAATATTTTGAATGTTACTATGCCCGAAACCCGCTCGCGGAAAGAACTTTCCCTGAAATACGGGTGGAAGGCCAAAAATCATGGTAAATTTAACTCATCACGTCCTTACCTTTTTCTTATGAGAAAGTTATCTGATTTTTCTCTCCTGTTGAATATAGGTCTACCCCAGGGCCCAGTTGTCGTCCCCGAGGAGGACATTTTGGATGATCCTATTGATGTGGCGAGGGTGCTGCAGAAAGCTTTTTCATAGACAGGCATCTTCAGGCCTACTTCTGGTGCAAGTGATTCTTCTCGGAATCCCCGGCTGGAGATTAAGAAACCAAAAAGAAGGCGTTCCTCCGCGGCGGGGGGAAATAATAAGAGGGGAAATAATGTTGTCCCGAATCATCTCCAAAAGTCATAGTGACGATCCCTCCGACCGGGTCGGCCATAAATACCGTGATGATTGACGATGATGGAGAAGCTAGTGAGGAGGGAGCTTTTCTACATAGAAGACGACTACCTTTCTCAACTCAACAGACCGCTCAATCTGTTGCGTTGGTTACACCAACCGAGGACGATGTCTCAGCACTCTGGGGGAGTATGAAATGGTGGAAAATGCCAACTCTCGCTTCCGGATCCCAGTTGTTGAGCCCGGTATTTTGGGGCTGAGTACCGGGTCCCTTCCGTCTTCGGTTGATGAGAAACCAACAACCAGCATTATGTTTGTCGCAGCTATTTCTCACCCTTCAACACCACCAGCTTCATCTCTATCTTCACCCTTTAACACCATCAGCTTCATCTCTATCTTCACCAATACCAACACCAACAATTGCTACATCATCTCCACATTCACCATCTCTTCCACCAGGAATTGCTATATTATCTTCACCAGATGCATTTGCCCGAGAAAATGGTGTTCTTCTCCCCAAGTCCCCAGTTCATGGAAATTTGGGGCAAAATTGTTCTCCCCCTTCAGAAGATCAGCTAAGGAGGAGGAGCATTACTCTCTCGGTCTTCACCAGATGAAATTTTCTATCCCGGCCGGTGGAACATGTTAACTATATGAAGCCTTTGGCTTCAGAAAAAGCTTGGGAAAAGACACAGGCTCTCTCAAGAGAGTTCTTATTGAACAATGCCATGCACAATGCTGCAGGGGTACATTTTTCACTTCTTTTGTTATTTCTTCTATTTTTGCCTGAAAATATCCTGAGTTTGCCTTTCTTGTTTTGTAGGCCAATTTTCTTGCTTCTGAGGGCCTTCGAAAGTTTATTCGGGAAAAAGAAGATCTTACCTCCGCATGGGATCACATTTTGGTTGAGCGGGAGCAAACTGTTGCTCGCCTCTCAGAATTGGAAGCCAAAGTTGTTGAGGTCATTGTGTTGGAGACTCATTTGGAGCAAAGCGAGCAAGAAGTGGAAACCTTTAGCCAAGAGATTGGCCCATTGAGGGTTAAATTTGACGAAGCCATGGACAAATGGACTGAAGTCCGTAGTGTCATTCTTGCTACAACCGACCGCGTGACTGCCTCCGCTAAAAGATTGACCAACTTAGAGGCAGCCTTGAACTCCAAAATTGAAGATCTTGTTGCTACCAGGGTGAAACAAGCACAATTAGAGGAGAAGTATAAGAAGACCCTTGAGCATAATAGGCTTTTTAGCTCAACTGTCTATGAACTCAATGTTAGCCTCAAGTCCATTAGATCCGCTCGAAAAAATATTTTTACTGAGGTTACCCAACTCAAAGAATAACTTAAGCGCCGAGTGACTTCCCTCGTTGTTGAGAAAACTTATGTTATGTACAACATGAGGAGAAAAACTTTGGAAAAGGCTAAAGCGGGTATCATTGACTTTGATGCCAAAATCGTTAAGGCCCGTGAGCTTGAGTCAGCTGCTAAAAGGGGTCTCCCGGCAAGGTCTAATACTTCTGGTTTGTCTGGTTCTGGTTCCAAAACTTCGGGAACTGAAGAGGAAACGGAAGGCGAAGATGTCGAAGGCCAAACTTATAAGGGGCAAGATGTTGAGCCATTGGCAGATCTACCCACTTCCCCTGGGGGCACGAACACTTGTCTTCCTCCGGGTTCCGGAGATGTAGCAGTTTAGCTTTTTCTTTCTTTTTTCAACTTTTGTATTTATGTCATTTCTACATGTTTATTGTAAATAAAGACATCTTTTGCTCAAATATTACACGAGTGTTTCTTTTGTTTGAACATTTATATAAGTTTTAATCTTTGCATTCTTTTTTGTTTAAGTGTTCTGCGCAAGTTTTACTATTTGCGTCTTATTATGCAAGGCCTTGGGTGTATTTTTCCCTCGAAAGCTTTTAGATTTTGGGCACAAGTTCATCCCAAGTCAACCCTTTATCATGATGGTTTTTATAAGAGAGAGCCCTGTTATATTTATGGTGCTCTTGAAGAGGACGTCTCCTGCTCATTACATCATTAGTATTTGAAGTACTTGTTTAACTTTTAAATGATAAAATCAATTCATCGGTCAGACAAGAAACAAGATGGAAAATAAAAGAACTTTACTTTATTCCTTCATTTATCAAAAAATACATAAGCATTTGTTAGCTAAAATGAAATTGTCATTTCTTGTGGCTAACTTGTACAACTTGTTTCTTACGGGGTTTGCCGAGGAGTCCCCGGTCCCGATGATACAACTATGTTCCCGATTTTTGTGTTTCAGTCGACGTGAAAGTCATTGTTGTCGTATCCTCGTATTAT